AGGTAAATTCAAATCATTTTTATAATGTTGATTTTCTACTAAAAATAGGGATTATAAGGGAAAAACATGGAGCTCATGGAGTGAATAGTTTATCTGTGTGCCTCCTGGTTTTATTAAAGAAAATATATGTGTAAAGATGCTTAGTAGAAAATTATTGTTTCTCACTATATGTTCTCATTTACAAGTTGTAGTGTTTCAGGGCTCTTAGATTTTTTGGGGAGACTTATCATGTATGATAACAGAAATTTTGCAGAAATTGTCTTCACGTTTAGTTATATATTCCTCTAACCCCCCTCCACCCCCTCCCAGGTGCTTTTTTCTTCCACCTTGAGTATTAGAAATTTAATAGTCATATATTCTGCGGGATCTAGCCTTTGGTTACATTTACACAAGCAGCTAAACCAAATAAAATTACAGTACATAATATTAGTAAACGTGTTCATGTGTGTGGGTGTCCCTCTTTCTGTGTTTATACACACACTCAAAATATACAGTAAGGATATGTGTCTGTTGCACCAGTATCCCCATCAGATTTCAAATCGAGTTGATTAAACAAATGAAATAGTGGTGGAAAGGTGATTTGATGGATGTAAAACAGTAAGATGATAAAGGAGCGGGAGAGGGACCCCCAGATTCAGAGCACTCTGCATGAGAGAGTTGGATCTTGTTTTGTGTTTAATCTTGGTCAGTTCTCATTTAAAGCTAGAGTAATATTACCAGTTGTGTGGTTTGGGGAATTTAATGTTTTTTAAGGGTGTCTAGAAAATACTGTAACTGAGTGGGGAAAAAGGAGAAACAGTATCATTTCTTCAAACTACACAGATATTAAGTTCATAGATTAAAAAACCCCAATATGGAATGTAGGTTCTGTTTGTGACCAATTTGGGTGTTAAATTGCTAATTTCTGTTTTCCACTATGATGATACTTGTTAATAATGTCAGACAATTACGTTTTGATGTAAGCTCACATAGTTATGATGCTTTAATTAAACGTTTGGAAATAAAAGCAGCTGTTAAGCTGTGTACAGTTTTTGTAACTTGAAATGTTTTTCACGAGATTCACACAGAAATAGATGTAAAAAATGTTCATATGCTATCCTTGTATGTGAATAATTTTACCAGTATAGTATGTTAGTGTGAAGTTCCAACACGTTTTTGTCCTGATGACTTTTCTGGTGATTTTATTTTAGCTGTACAGTTTTTACTTCTTGGTCATGAATTTAGTCTCTGTGAAGGCCAAGAGGTGGAAACTCTCTATTATTCCAGCAGTACACAGGACTCTGCACTGCTGTATCAGGAAATCTCAAGTAACAGTTTTATGATGTATGAGGATATTATTCACTGCAAGCAATAACACGCATTTCTATTTCCCCAGCAATATCCACATAATCAAACATTCACAAGTGCTTTACAAAGAATTTAATTAAATAGCGTGCAGAGTAACTGGATGCAGCATGCACACAAGCTGTTATATATTCAGTAGTTCACATTTTGCAGTTAGTGCAGAACACTTTTGAGCAGAACAATGTATGAATGATATTTCTATCAAAATGTGCGTTTTCACCCCTCCTTTTATGCCTTGCTCCTTAAAAATTGCCCTAAAATCTTAACAGATGTCACCTCCAGGAGCACAGAATACCTTCCTCAGTACTCTAATGGTGTGATAAAAAGAGGGAAATAGAAATTCTCATGTTGAGACTTGAACATCAAACATTGTTCCTCTGAAATCAAACATTTATAACTCCCCAGAGAAAGATATAGATTATTGTGTCTTTTACCACAAAACTAGGCGTGTTTGGAATTCTATTTAAGGGTAGTAGAAATTTGTGGAGCAATCAAGACCAGCCACTGAAGAATTTCATTTCTAAATTAACACCAAGACCAGACATTCGGAGTTTAGACATGGACAATGAAAAGAAAAAGATTTCTCATTTTGTCATAATGAATATGTTCAGATTCCATTCTGTCAGTTGCTGGACATTAAGAAAGTCTCTTCTTTGGCATTAAAGTGCAGTGCATCAGACCCTGCATTGGGAAAAGGTGAGAGTGTGTTCATATGTTGTAGTACACTTCTTAGTTCATTCAGCGTTATTGGTATGCTCATGTCACCTGCAGGGATTAGCATTCTGGAAGCCAACAGGGTTATCTATTACATTTTGTTTTTCTGTTCAGAAAAGCCCTTTAAGCATTAGCTGATTCATGAGAGGAGTTTCCAGCCTTGCAGAACACTGGGGCTGTGTTGGATGAAAGTGATTTAGAATTTCCCTCTGTGGTTGTCTACCTGCAAGGCAGTTAGTCGTCCATCAGATTGGAAGGGTTTATTGGTATGTCAGTGCTATAAAGTAGCGGTCTAAACCAGCAGACCAATACCAATGACAGAAATACTGACAGACAGTCTATAATTAGCTTGTAAAGGTGTTTAATATGAGATGTCACCCTAGTTTCCCAGTTCCACAGAATTATTCCAGTTTATTGCTGGCTAACATTGACAAAATCTGCCTATTATGACTGGCAAGAAAGAACAGAACCTACAAATGAACCTGAAGGAGAGAAAGGAAACAAAAGGATCAGTTAAAAGTAAGGAACTAGTTTTACTTTCATGCTTGTTCTATTGCAGTTGCTTATTTGAGAGGAATTGCTGAAAGCTTAATTAGAGTAAATAAGAACAGAGTCTCTGCATTTTCTTCTGAAGATGCCTTTTGAAGGGAAGTTTAATCTCTGCAGAACTTACGGCTTTCTTTACGGAGTTGAGAATGGGAGAGATCCCTGCTTAATGTGAATGAAGATGTGCCATTAACTTCAGTGATTTCACCCAGTAGCCTTCGTGTCCTTTCTTTTTCATCCTTATGCTGTCTTTGTATAGCAGACAAGAGTTTTTCATTTTGCATATCATTTATAACAAATTACAGTTATTCTAAAAAATTAGTACAGTTAGAGCTTTAACTGAAGAACAGAAGGAAAGCGTGAATTTCAAATTTACTTGCACATCTAATCTTGAACACCGTGTTTTGGATTTTTGCTTTATTTTCTTTAATTAAGCTCTTGTTCTAGTGTCTGCCTTTGTATAAAATATTTATTCTTTACTATTTGTACTACGTCTCTGTTTGCAATTTGGGTATTTTCAGTGTGCTTGTATTTGGAAGTAGCTGCTAGACTCACTCTATGCGTCTACTAGAAGTCTGGGATTTTTATACTTCTTGCAGCAGGCCCTTTTTGGGAGTATAAAAATATATATTACTGGAATATATCCAAGTTCTCCATTCCTGATATTTCAATGGCAACTTCCTTTGAATCCTGAAGTAGAGCTACTGCTGTCAGGTTGTTCTCCAAGCCAATTCTACTACACATATCAGCAAGCCCAAACAGAACGACTTAGGGGATGTGTCAGTGCTGTGATATAATTTAGAGTACTATTTAGAATAAACAAGTCAGAAGTTTTCTTCTTCAGATTAAGAAGTCAACCCAGAGACCTTTCATCCCACCCGGGGAAGTACCACCTATGCTCGTGTTAACTGTGAATGAACTAGCTTTGGAACCAGAAGTAATACAGCCAAATGAAAGGAGTTTGGCAGCTAGGCTAATTAATTAAGAAGCCAGGCTAATTAGTTTGACTGGAGGGAGCATCATGCTGATCTGACAGTGTAGCTTCCAAAATTCTGACTGATTTGTACACAGGTTGCACTAGGCTTCTTGTAGACATACAAGTTGTTTCTGGGCTCTTTCAGATATTTTTGCTATGAAGCAACATTGTGTAGTGGTTTATTCCCTATGTCAATTTACTGTAATTTTATTTCCAGACTGATCATCAATTTTAGTTCATTCTCAACCTTCTGCGGTTAGATTTTTCTGACACAGGGACAGACATTGTAATAATGCCTTGTTCTACCTCATGCCACTGAGAAAAATTCCACACTGCTTATTTTTTTGTATGATGAAGGACCTTCCCATCTTCTTCCTAATTTTTTGTCACTTAACTGAATACAAAACTGAAGTATCATAGAATCATAGGATGATTTGGGTTGGAAGGGACCTTAAGGATCATTCCAACTCTCCTGCCATGGGCAGGGACACCCTCCACTACACCAGGTTGCTCAAAGCCCCATCCAATCTGAGCTTGAACACTTCCAGGGATGGGGCATCCACAACTTCTCTGGGCAATGTGTTCCAGTTCCTCACCACCCTCAAAGTGAAGAATTTCTTCCTTAGGTCTAATCGAAATCTCCCCTCTTTCAGTTTAAATCCATTGCCCTTTGTCCTATCGCTAGATGCCCTTGCAAAAAGTCCCTCTCCAACTTTCTTGTAGGCCCTCTTTAAGTGCTGGAAGGCTGCTAGAAGGTCTTCCCAGAGTGTAATACTCCTGAAGTTGTGTATGGCACCATTGTTCCAGCCTGTGGGGCTGAGAGGTAGCTGTTGGCAGTCCTGTTTTCAGAGGACGTATGCTACCAGTAGAGCACATTGGAAGATGCTTGGTTTTGTAACAAATGGGGATTCTGAACAGTTTGCCATCTTTCTGGTTGTTATGAAACAGTATTTCATCAGTGCTCTCCTTAATGTCAGTCCTTACATACAGTTTAATGTGTAAGATGTTTATAAAGGACTCACTTTAATGAAAAGACAAAAAATACTTGTGGTAAAAGTCTGTGTTACTATGTTGATGTGGTATAGTAAACATGAGAAGCAGTATCAAACCCAGGAGTAAATGAACAAGGTATTTTAAAATAAGCTGGATTCTGTATAGAAAACTTCGATTAGAAGTACTAAGTACTGTGTTACAGCAATAACATGGTAATCATGTGTGAACAGATAATGACATAAGATCAAAAATTAATATTTTATTAATATTTCCTAAATGACATTACTGGAGAGCTGGAATCAACTTTTGTTTTTTATATGTATGTTATTTAAAATGCTCTTAGTGATCATTTATGGCCTTGCTTACAATAGTTCTTCAGCATAGTAGATCCCACATGGAGTTAACATATATTTTTTTCTATTTCTAGATCTGTTAGCTGTGCCTAAGCATCCATATGCTGCTATGGAGAACTGGGGACTGAGTGTTTTTGTGGAGCAAAGGATACTGCTAGATCCAAGCATTTCTTCTATATCATACCTACTGGATGTCACCATGGTCATTGTACATGAGCTGTGTCATCAGGTATTAAAGGTGTTCAGATATTTAGTATTAATATCAAAAACCATGCATTCCTTTTCAAAGCTGAAAATGAATTTGTATTGTTCACATAGATGGTAACTGGAGCCCAAATAATACAGAGATCTGTAAGATACATCACTACAGTGCAGAAACTGGGGAGACTCTAAATGGTGATAAAAGAAAAATTAGTAGCAATGTACAGCTTCCCTATCTTCTGTATGATTATATTTTGTATGTTTGTGTGTGTGTTGTTGGTGTGCAGACTAAACACGTTGATAACTGTAGAAAATGATTTATTGCAGAACTATAGCAGATTCATGCTAAGTTTCATGTTCATGTCAAAAAATGTTTTGACTGAAATCAATTTGGTAGTCATCTTCTTCCATCACATATACACATACTTCCATTTTCTTTGTATTTTCTTTTTTTTTTTTTATTTAGTACTGGCCCTTTTTCACTAATGGTGGGTAATTGAGTCTTCATGCGTCCAGAAACTTTTGTATCAATAAGAAAACTTTGTAATAAACCCATATTACAATTTCTTTTACATTTCTTCCATCTTCTTATCTCAAACTAAACACATTATGAGTGTTTAGTACTATTGAGTTGAATGCAAATGTTATTGAAGAAATTTGCTACAGGGGCAGGAAACCCTTTCTTGCACTCGTAAGAGGCATAATCATAGCCTTCAGGTTAAAATGAATGAAATCCTACTGTGTAATCAGCATGGCTTACATCTGTGACTTTACACAGTATTCTTTAAAAGGCAATGCAAATTCTTAACACTTTCTGCAAATAAAAAGCACCATATAAAAGGGAGCCTTTGTAAAGGAGTTCTAGTAGATGAACCTGGAAATAATAATGTTTGGTTCATATTCATGTTTCACATTAAATCCGTCGATGAATATGAAGTCCTCAACTACAACATGAAATTTTTATTGGAAGTTATTGCTGGTTTGTTCTCAAGATGATCATCTGATTTTGTTACATGCTCTTTATTGTGCAGTACAATAGAGTAGCACACTGTTCAGCTAGAAAAATTACAGTGCCTTAGGAATCAGGTGTGGAAAACACATATTAGGTCATCAAATTCCAGCTCCTGTTAGTATTAGATTCTCCCGTGTGGTGCGTTTTGTAGTGCTGGGTTCAGCGCTCCTGATTACAGGGTTACACTGCTTCTCTTAAAGCCTTTTGATTAAATCTGATGGTCAATAACTTTTTCCTAGTGTTCAGCTTAAGCCTTCCTTTTTCTGAAGTCATTCTGTTACTTCCACTTATTCTTTGCACCACTTTAATAACTTCCTCTGCTTCCAAAGCAATTTCTACTTCAGATGTGGGCAATTATCACATCAGTAGCTTGCCAAGTTTGTTTATTTCATTCTCATTGAAACTGAAGCCTTTTGCATTGTTCTGGGAAAATCAGAGGATGATGAAGTGAGTGAAAACTGCATTTATTTTAAGGTAGTAATGTGGTCATAGAGTGCTTTTAAGTGACCTTAAAATTGGAAATGAGAAGGTTTACTTGGTGTCTATGTTGATATTAATTCCAGTGCTATTTGCTTAATTGAAAGTGTCTTCCTCCATTCATGTTGCTGCTGTTTCTGTTTTAATACCATGCAGATCAGGTCCTTGCTCAGCTGCTTCACTGGATAACTAGACAAGGCAGAAAACATTCAGGTGGAAGAAATATTGTTTCTACTTTTTAGATGCAGAATTGAGTCACAGAGAATAGGGATTGTTTATCTGTAAATAAAGTTTAAAGGGTGAAACCTTCCAAAAATACAAGCCACAAAACACTGTCTAGCACCTCTATCACAGTATTGTCTTTATTTAGCCATTTTTTTCTGCTTTTATCTTACCATATTCAGAAGGCCCTCAAGGAAACTTTAGCTGTGGATAGCATAGAGCAGGAACTGTAAACAATACTAGCATAGCTGAAAATGTATTGAACTGAAACCAGGTTGGGTCCAGGATCTCTTGCCTCTGCTATTTAATTGTTAATTATTCACTGCATTTTTCATCCTCTTTTGCTGTGCATCATCTTGCCAGCTAACCTGAGGTGGCACATGAATACTCTGCCCCTTCACTCATTTTTACACACAGAATAACAGAGATTTAACAACATCACTTCTGGCACAGCAAAAAGTAGAATCAGTATCTCCAGTTTTACTTTTTATTTTATTATTTTTTTTAATTTCAGGTAAGAGGAAAGGGAACTCTCCTAAAATATGTTTTTCTAAAATGTGTTTTTTTAATATTTTCAAGAATTGTATCATTGCCCTGATTTTAAACCTATGATTTTAGGACTTACAGAACATAGCTGAGCATGTAGCAAATGGTCCTGTATGAGACCCTTGTTGCTTAGAGTAACACAGCAATTGCTTTGCTAATGTTGTTCCCAAGATGAGAAAAATCAGATGAATATTAAGAATCGGGAGTTACCTTCAGATATGACTTAAAATTCGAATTCCCAAACCTGCCGGGTATTAATGCTTGAGTACAGTGTTCAGGACAGATAGAAAATGAGAGACAGGATTGCAGAAGGACAAAGAAATTCTGACGTAGTCAAAACGCAGGTGAAAAATATGTAAGAAAAGATTTTATGCCTGATTTCTTCACAGGTGACTTTGTAATGCTTGACCAGATATTTATTTTAGGTACATGTTTTAGGAGGGACACATTAAAGTTACATGGGTAGCTTTAGTTTAGTCATTTTGTAGGTTGCTAGTTCTTGATATTTCAGCCTGAGTGTTTTTTAGAACATTTTGTGTGTTTAATTAAAAAAAATTAATAATTGGAAGGAGTGTTTTGGCATAAAAGCTTCTCCTCCAAGCCCCAAAACACAAATGAGATATTTGTCAAAACAGACATATTTTTAGCAACTTAAGTTTATAGCTAGAAATAATTACCATAATTTGTTAAAATAATTATATTAACGCAGTAATCAGTTTTATTTGCATATCACAGATCAGTCCCACCTACAGTCTTTGAAGAAAGAGTCATTTGAATTTATGCGCCATGATTTTTTGTGATAGTTTTCCCACCTGAGTGCAAAACTTGGTGTGACGGATTGAGTTAAAGAGGCATGAAAGCAGAAAGAAAATTAGAAATTTCTAAATCAATGCTTTTTTAATAATCTGTACAGAAAGCACAGAGGA